GTGCTGAACAAACGTGCTACGGAGCGAGATCAGTTGATTTGTTGAGTCTTCGGGCTTAGTCTGTTCCTGGTAGTTGCTGTAGTTGCGTGTGTTGGCCTAGTTTTTTACTTTTTGCTGGGGCAGCGTGTTGGCGATTTATCCCCCCGCGTGCTTGTAACAGGATTGATACTATGTATGCTGGTTTCGTTTGATCAATGCAAATGGAGCCAGGGCTCTGAGCCCTTTTCCTCTAAAAAAACTCCTGCATGCACAACACTGATATGACGACGACAAAAGGCAAATCACATTTGCACAGAATATAGTGTAGTGCTGCATACAGCACAGAAGGACAAGGCTCCACCCAACAATCTAACCCAGTTTCAGGGTAGTTACCTGGTAGGCTTCATGGTTAGAAACTATTCTCCTTATAATAGTACTAGTGGTGATGTCCAAAGGGCTATCCAGCTTATGATAAATGCCCATAGCAATTGGAGCAGCATATGGATTTGAATCGTCCTGAGAAGTGCACAAATGACAATGATCAATTATCAAGGTTCAACATTTGCATATTCCAAGAAAAAGACAGCTTAATTACCTCTGTATAGTCCATGTTCTCAGCTATAGTTCCATGAACAACCAATGAAATATTAAAAGTGGTAATCTGTACAAAAAGGAAAGTCAGAGAGCTCTTGGCACATACCACACACACATAACCTGGTTGACAACTAAAATTGCAGCAGGTGATTACTAAACGATCCTGGATAATACACAAGGTTAGACAGTAAATTATAGTTTTCTCGAAAAAGACAGTAAATTATACAGATGAAAAATATATAGATTTTATTTGATGGAAGTCTGATTGTTTTGTGTTCAAAATTACAGGTTAGGTACCTGCATGTTCTGCTTCAATGCAACCAGTCAGGATAACTTGAGGACACTGATCACATCATTTCTGAGCAGTGAGCAGAATGACCAAATTTCTCAGTGTACTACTGTTCTAAGACTGCAAGGAATGCCTTAGGTTGAGACAGGATTCCGGAGTCAACGGCTTCACAGAACCTAGCAGCTAACCATGGTTGGCATTTGCAGCTTAGCATGGACAATACGACCAATTAGACAACACAATTTCCTCGGAAAGCAACGCAATAGCTCAGCATTGCTTAATGAAGATCAAGCTGGAGATGAGACAAAGGATATACTGGAAAAGCTAGAAGTTATGAAAGGCCATCGATCTGTCCAAATAAAATTGGTGGCCTATTGGAAATTGGGAATCTTTGTGTCCATTTCATTGTTACCTTTATTTTGTAGTGAACTAATTCTCATACTGGGCATAATTACATTTTGTAATATGTAGAGGTACTGATGGTTTGTGCATATATGTTTTCTGGTTCGTCATTTTCACGCCCTCCAAATGTTTGGACAGAGAGGAAAAAAGGAACCCCCACCCCGTGTCGCTCCTCCTGGGGGCGACTATGGGAAACCTAGTCCGCCGCCGCCAGGCTCCGCCCTCTCGGCGCCCTCCTCCCGCCACTACCGCTGGCTTCGCCGCGGTGGCGCGGGGAGACCAGTGGTGGACGTAGTGGCGAGCTCCGTTGGCGCGCGGTGGCGTCATCATTGGGGCGCGCAGTCCGTGGCGGCGCCGGAGCTGGTGGTGGGTGCTCCAGGCGGAGTGCGCGGTGCCGTGGGCTCTCTCCCGCTGCTTGGCCTGTAGGGGTCAAATCTGTCCGGATCTGGGCATCTGGCTTCCCTTGAGGCGGCTGCGCCTCGCCGGAGCAAGCAAGCTGAGGCGGCGGCCCCCTGACCGCCGCGGGTCAAGCTCCCAGATCCGTTGGTGGTGGTACTCGGGTGTGCTCTTGTGGCTGCAGTAGGGCGCCCTCGGGTGTCTAGGGGCTCCTCCCTTGGCTTGTGGAGCTGCGGTGGTGGCAGTGAGCCACAGGTTTGAATGGCGGCGTGGTGGCGCTGCATAGGTGGGTTTGCTCCTTCTTGGAGGCACCGCCTTGGAGTCCTTGGCACTTGTGAGTCGGCGGGGTTCGGCAGTTGTGCAGGGTTGCCTTGCGGTCTGGGCGATGGATGCCGGACTGCCGGAGTGGCGGTTCCGGACGGTGGATGTACGGCGGCCTCAGAAGGCCATGCAACGGCGGCTCTATGGGGTAGACTCGCGGCTCTGCATGTCATGGGTGATGACCTTGGCAATTCTCTTCTTCATGAAATGCAGCAACCCCCTGCCCCTCTCGAGGTGTTCTCAGAAAAAAAAATTGTCACGCCCTCCCCTTCTGCTAGCCTGGGCAATTCAGAAGTGGAGGCAGATAGCGAGGCTGGGGAACGGCCGGACGCAAGGTGTGGAGAAGAAGACGTGCAGGACCCACTATCATGAGGAGACTTAATCGCGCCTATACATGAGTGTATGATAGTGGGACCAATGGCCACTTGCCAGGTTGTTATAAGCTAGTGATGAGCGTTGTGTAAGGCATGTGATTCTTTTTTGAGAAAACACATGAGAGCGCGTGTTTCATTTCAGTGAAAAGAGAGAGTTGCAGTTACACTCCTAGGAGGCGGTTACCGTTTTCGAATTAATGGACATCCCATGTTTGGAGGTGATGGCTCTAAGCCCTAGAGCGCCCACGCTTGCCCAAAGGGAGGCCTCTTCCTTAATCTTCGTTACAGGGCGTTCACCGATGGGCGTGCTCCATTGAAGACACGGTCGTTGCAGTGCTTCCATATCATCCAGGGAACGAGGGTCATGGTACCCAGGGCCCTTGCGCATGGGCGTTGGGGCGGATTGTCGTGCCGATTGCCACCAGTCCAATAGTGAGGCTCGTTGTCTGGCGGGGCGCATGGGATCCGTAGCCAGCGCAGTGCCTCATGCCAAGTCTGCCGAGCGAAGGGGCATGCGAGGATGAGGTGGTGCATGGTCTCAGGTGCCTGGTCGCAGAGGGGGCGTCTCGCGGGGTGTTGCAGGCCGCGGCGAGCAAGGCGTCTCCAGTCCAGCATCTGTCGAGGTGGGCAAGCCAGTGGAAGAAGCGGGCGCGCAGTGGAGCCCAGTTTCTCCAAGTGAGCTTACCGGCGGCGCAAGCTGTGGACCCGACAAAGGTGGCGGTGTAGGCTGACTTGGCGGAGTAGAAGCTATTTGCAGCCCATCTCCAGATGAGGCGATCTGGCTCTGCAGATAGGCTCGTGCCATCGATCATGTGCCAAAGTTGGAGGTATTGCCCGATCTGGTGGATGTCGACCGTGCCTTGGATGTCCCGCGCCCATCGGTTGGCCTCCAACCCTTCCGCAACTGTCCTGATCTTGCGACGGCATTTGGGGATGCATGCGTATAAAAGCGAAGCGATCTCACGGATGTACTGTACGGCAATCCAACGGTCCTCCCAGAAGAGGGCCTCCGTGCCATCCCAAGCTGCATGGTGGTGGAGGCGAAGAAGAATGTGTGCTCCTCAGCGGGAATTGTAGGTCGATGCCCGCCCAAGCTTTGGTGGTGTTCGTGTGGCTGAACCAAAGCCATCGTGTGTGCAGCGCGAGGTCGCGAACGCCAAGGCCACCCAGGGAGATCGGGTGGGCAACCCGTTGCCGGTTGACATGGTAGTGCCCGTCGTTTGCCTCCGCGCGCCCGGCCCAGAGAAAGCCTAGCTGGATCTTCTCGAGCGCCTTTATGGTCTTCTTGGGGGGCGCCAATGCTAGCAGCTGGTGGATCGGGATCACACTGAGGACGGCCTTCATGAATGCGAGGCGGCCAGCCTTGTTCATGAAGTGTGCCTTCCAACAGGGGAGCATGCGGGCGGCTTTGTCTACGACGGGCTGGAGTGGGCCATGGAAGGTCGATGCAGCGTCAGAGGGATGCCCAGGTAGGTAATAGGCAGCTCGACAATGGGGTAGCCTAGCAAGTCGACAGCAGGCGCAGCCTCGTCCGCGCAGCTGCGAATCAAGGTGGTCGTGCTCTTCGTGAAGTTAACCTAGAGCCCGAGGGCGCGCCCAAATAGCTGCAAGATGCTCTTGACGGCGGTGACATCGCTCAAGGTGGGGAGACAGAAGAGGATCATGTCGTCCGCGTAGAGGGAGACCAATGGCATCGGACGCCGGGGGTGTAGCCGTTGTATTACACCAAGCTCGGTGGCGTGGTGGAGCAGACGGCCTAGCATATCAGACAGCGAGCACGAAAAGCTGAGGAGATAGTGGATCGCCCTGGCGAAACCCACATCTGTGCCAAATTGTTGGGCCTGGTTTTCGTTAACAAGCACCCTAGTGCTTGCCAAGGAGAATAAGATGGCCAGCCAATCTAGGAACCTGGTGCCAAAGCCGTATTGGCGAAGGTCGTCGAACAGGAATGGCCACCTGATCGAGTCGAGTCGAAGCGCGTGCCAGGTCCAGCTTCAGGAGCACGCATGGGGCGCCGAGCTGATGTAGCAGGCGGGCAGACTGGCGCACGAGGATGAAATTGCCGTGTAGGTTGCGTCCTAGGATGAAGGCGTTCTCGCTCGTGCTGACGAGGGAGATGAGTTTGTACGCAAGGCACAGCGACAGAACTTTGGCCAAGATCTTGGCGACCAAGTGGATGAGGCTAATGGGCCTGAAGTCGCCTAGGGCATGGGCGTCCGCGCGCTTGGGGAGCAGGGTGAGTAGCGCCTGGTTAAGGCAGCTGAAGCCACGGCCTGGTTAAGGCTTTTACTTGTACGGCATTAAAGCCATATCATCAAGCATGTTATACTACACTTATATTATGGTTCAGAGTGGAGTAGACAGCTCACCATGTCTTTTGAAATGTGCCACGGAGCACCAATGATTACTTCGTCAACATAACGACAAGCCAAAACACTCAAACTGCGCTCATGGAGATTCATGATTGGGCGATGTGGTCCTCGAGTTGAACTGAGAAATATTAAGCATGAATGTAAAAAAATGTTATATTAAAAAAACTGATTACAGAAGTTATGCTCAACAGTGCACTCCGAGTCTCTGACTATAAACTATGACTGTTGCAAAAGCGAATGAACTGTATAAGCATTGCAATTAGAAGATAAAAGGAGAGGCAACCATTATACTTACCTTATGGTCTGATCTGTGTGAATGCCCACAAGCAAGAAATCTCCAAGCCCTCGAGCAAGTCGCAATATCTACATTGAAGAAACCATAAATACACTGAACTATGAATTGCAATGTTTTGAAGACTTTAGTCCAGTATTCTCCCCGCAGAAAGAACTGGAAAAAATATACGACCAAGACAAGCATATGACATAGAAGTGGAAAAAATATACGACCCAGACAAGCATATGACATAGAAGTGGAAAAAATATACGACCAAGACAAGCATATGACATAGCATCCCAATGCTGACAAAGATGTCATGGTTTTTCTCTGTTTCTCTTGTGGGAGGCATTTACCTCGACATGTCCAGCATGGAACAGATCAAATGCACCATCAATGTAAACTACCCGGGAATCTGGTCCTGGCCCCTGCATTGGTAAAGCTTAGTCAACATAAAAGGAAATAAATTGAGAAAAGAAGGGCCTATTTTATTTAGTTGAATTACACGAACTATCACCAGTTTGCAAGTAGAGATATCAAATTAAATTCTATGTTTACAAAGTGAATAGTTCGATCTTACAAGCATATGCATCTGCTTGTTGTAGACAGACATTAGGTGTATCCCACCATGCTACAGTATGTGTCCAATTACGGGTCTTGTCTTGGGGGTCAAGTTATGCGGAGTTTGTATGTTAGGAATATGGGCCCAGCTAGCACACGCTGGAATTACTCTTAAGCAAACAGTAACCAACCTAGAAGATCTATATAAGGATGTATCCCTACTGTAAGAGGGCAAGCAAGAAATTAACTCTTTCCCTTCTAGTTGCTATCCCACTACCTTTTTCCCAGCCAATCTTCACTTAACCTTAAAAGAAGTTGAGCTGTGAGCACATCAATGCCTGCTTACGGTAATTCAAGGATACTGAACTTTTATTATTTTTTACTATCAACTCAGAACCACTCAAACCGTCAACCAGTAATCATGTGGGCATTTGTAATTGATGAAGCACACTGCACGAATAATACTCTCTCTCTCAAGTCATCATTCATGCCTAGTAAGTGCATCAACACTAAAAGCTTAGTATTTAAGAAAAAGGAAACATTTTTCAGTGGAAGTTTTCATCTATGATGCACAGACAAATCTCTACCTGGGCAAAACCTGTACACTTGTAAGAGGAGTTTCACATATGGAAGTCTCACTCTCAATACAATGTAACTGTTCTTACATACAGAATACCTTAAGTGTAGCCACCTCGAACGAGTGTCTGATCTCAGGACTAGGTGCCAACCACGTTACAGAGGTTCATTGGATATTCATTACCCAGATATAAATGGCATAGTATTTATGCAAGAGAAACTCTGAAACTGTATAAGACATACCCTGCCATTTGAGAACTGAACTATCCGCCGAGATGTGGGAAGAAAATGAGATATTTTTGTTCCATTTCCAAATCCACTATCATCAATATTCTGACCATGCCCATGACTGAACTGTCTTTGTAGTGAAGAGTGGCTCTGATTATCAGAAACTGGTCTCTCTCTAACACAAAGAAGCATTCTTCCTGCAATGAAGAGAGACAAGCTCAAGATGGCAGTAAAATGTTTGCATCACCATAGGCAATAGAAATGAGTCCATGACCAACTCATTGGTTCCCAATGTAAATTGTACTCCATACCATCCTGGCTCATAAATGGATACAACAGAAATGTCAGAATGCATGTGATGATGGGAACAAGAAAATAGTCTGGTGAACAGTGAGGTTGACAGCTCAGAGACGACCTGCAGCTAAAAAGACTGTAGCCAAAAGATATTCCAATGCGGTAGCCATTCAGACTTCAATTTCAGTATGGCAATTAAAACTTTTAGCATTTAACACATACTACAAGCGAAAACTAAAGCAGAATAAGTACCAACAATGTCTGTTGTTGACACTCCTTCGGTTCTTTTAATCTGCTTATATCGGCCAGCCTTTTTGGCAAGGGCATATGCGTCAGTGCCATCTGGTAGCAGGCAAGGATCATCACCATGAATTATGTAATCAATATTGTACTCATTGAATAGCTTGTTCATGAAATCTTCGGTTATGGCATATGGTGCATCTGGAATGACATCGTCAACCCATTTGACAGCACGGACCATTTTCATTCTGTATTACCCAGAAAAATAGAAACATTAGGAAAAAGAATTTATGCTAAATACAATACAAAATTAGGGATTATACCGGTGCATCCAAAGAAGCAAAAGCACGACACAGAAAGAAATGCCTAAAATTCCATACAGCCTTAAGCCTAAACTACATTAGAGGCAAAATCTGGCTGTGACAACACAACAGTAACTACCACCAGAGCACATAAGAAACCGATGAATTACACCTAAATCTACAAATTGCAGAAGCAGAGAAACAGTAAGGCGTGTACTGAGCACAGTAACTCCTGCCAGTAAATCTTGCTTAACTCGTCTTTCTTCAAGCAAGCAGAAAAATAATCAGAGATCTGATTAATCATCAAAATTAAATCAGTACCAGGATAAATTTTGCCAGAGCAAGAATTGCATCCATCATAAGCGCAATTGCGAACAGAAAAGCTACTGGCATGACCAATTTTCTAAAATGCATTAATGTCGTTTGAGCAAGGTTGGTTTTGTTACTACCAATCAGCCGAGCAGAGCACACAGCGGACATACCACATAGACCGTATAAAAATGCACAGGCTCACCAAGTGGTTAGTGACTCCAGCATTAGCGAACATTTCCAGAGCTATCTACTGCTTGAGCCAATTAGCCCATCCAGATCCAGCCAAGCTATCTACTGACCAAAAACACACTTTAACTTCAGAACTGTAATACTAATTTCCCAATTTAAATCATTCATGCAACACAACAATACAATTAGTTAACCATAACTCAGAGCCACTTTTTTCAGTGTTAGTAATCAACACACGAAACAATTCTAACATTCGATTGGAGCTACTTCTATGTTTCAAATCCATAGAAGTTTGAGAACGCCGAACAGTCCATCCTACCCACAAAACATCACCTTAGAACCCAAGCTAAAAAGAAAACTTTGATGCAAGTATGAAACTGGTCCACACAGTAGCACCTCAGCAAACACATTTATTCACAGAATGACACAAGAAGTTGGTCCTGAATCCTGACAATGAGCAACAACCACAAGTGCTCCCCAGCAGTTTGTATTGTAAGAATATAATTAGAGCAGAGTCCCGCACTATGACAACAAGCATCAACCTAAGGGGGAAATATTGCCTTGATTATGTTCTCATTGGAACAAAATGTTGGCTGAAGCACAAAACTTAGCGGCGATCTTATACATGGCGCAAGCAAACACTAGAATTACGAGGGGGTGCGGGATGACCTCTCGTGGAGCGGCGTGACGGGTGGTCCCTTGTTGGCGGTGATCTCGTCATCACTGACGACGCCGACGACGAGCTCGTCCCCGAGCGCCCGCGCCTGGCGCAGCGCGTTGCAGTGGCCGTAGTGCATCATGTCGAAGCAGCCGTCCATGTAGACCCGCACGGGGCGGCGGCGGCGGCGGAAGCGCCGCCGGAGGGCCTCGACCGGTGGTAGACTCGGGGCCGCGGGGCCAGCGCCGAGGTGCAGCGCGACCACCGAGGCACCCAGCACGATCCCGCCGATCACGCACGCCGCCACCGTCCGCGCGCTGCTACTAGCCGAATCCATGGGTAAGGCAATAGACTCGCGGACCCAGAGGAGTCAGCGGGGCTGGGGGAGAGTGGTCAGAGGCGTGTGCTTGGTTTTCGCGTGCGCGCAAGGTGCGGTGGGATCTAGCCTAGGGTTAGGGATGCGGGTGTGCGGCTGGAGGGCCCTTCGCCATGGGAGATGGTGGGAGGTCTCGGACACGGACGGAGCTGTGGTGCGGTTCAGGCTACCTAGCTCCGCGTCTGTGGCCGTAGCGGGAGTCCGCTCGCCTGTTTGACTCGATGCCAAATGGGACCAACGCGTCAGTGCAGCCCGGCTCGTGTAGATCCAGTACTGTAAAGTAAAAAACCACATGTGCCACTGATATTTTGTGGACTTTTTTAGTTGATGTTTTTGTGGACTTAGAGCATCTACATCTTCCCGCCTCAAACCGGTCTCAAATGTCCGGCCGGACGGCCCGGTCACTAACCGGTAAAAAACCCGACCCAAACAAGTTCCTCATACCGGCCATAAGTGTCCGGACTGATCGGCAACCTCTCATATCCAGCCCAAATCTAGGACAAGTATGACGAGGCCCGGGCGCGTCCCCCACGACAGACCAGACAGCCTGACTCCATTATAAATTGCATCAAATCCACCAAACTCATCGCCCTCCTCCCGTGTCCTAGTCGTCGTCGTTGTCCACCCTTGCTCCCCTCATCCTCTTCGTGAGCCCCAATCCGCCGCTCTAGATGTTGACCAGCCCGTCCCACATGCTGCCACAGAGGCTACTTTGGTGTCTTCCGTGGGCGTCCCGTCCTCGACTCTGGCGTGCAGGCCGGAGAACGCCGCCCGAAGGAATCGGTGACGGAGGCAGCAGGAGAGGGAAGCGCGTCGCAAGGAGCGGATGTGAACCTCGAGGAGCAACGTTCACCCCTGTCGCGCGCGGCCCCCCGAACCTCGTCCATCCAGCCGCCGACAAGGATCGCGTCATCCGACCCGGTCGGGTTAGAGGACGATCCGACAGCCGGTTGGGAGGGCATTCCGAAGTGGGCGATGCAGAGGACTACGGATAATGTCTTTCACTCACAACAGCTCCAACGGGCGCAGACAAGCACGGACAGCGGCGACGCCCAATCTGCACACGTCATGTTCGACGGAATGACATAGCATGACTCGGTACCTTTTTTGCTCAATCCCGAGCTTTGCTTTGCATATATCATTGCAATTAGTTGCGTATACCTTAGCTTATTTCAAATCCTAACAATTTTAGGGGAATATATTGTCGGACATGGCAATGAAATCAAGATCCGATCCAAATGGACTATGAGTTGGTGGATCCAAATTTTCTAACATTCACAACGTTTGAAGTTGGCATAACATCAAAACCCAACCCCAATAAGAAAAGGAAGGCAAAGGTGCCCAAGGCAAGAGGTCTCACATTCACAATTATTGAGGATATTTTATTGGTTAAAACTTGGTTGGCCACAACCTTGAACCCCATATGTGGCATGGAACAAAATGGCAATATGTATTGGGAGAAGATCCACAAGCACTAACATGAACACAAAACACTATATGGAGTCACATACTATCGTGACCACCCGCAATGTGGTCCCTTCGACATCGATGGGGAATCATTCAAAGGGAAGTTAACAAGTACGCCGGCTACTATGCACAAGTGCTTGGTCCCCTCAAAGTGGGATGACAGTAGCACCGCATATAAGTTTTTTGTCATCATGTCAATTGCTTGTATATTTGTCGTCATTTCAATTGCTTATTTTTTGTCGCATTATCTCATTGTTATACATAAATTGTTTGCTAGACGGTGGTGGCGACCATTATGTATCAAGAAACAGAGAAGAAGCCATTTGGTTTTAGCCATTGTTGGGTGCTATTGAATGGAAAACCAAAGTGGACACAACTTGTGGAATATCACAAGGTCGGCAAGGGGAAGACTGATGGGTCAAGCTCCCACTAATCAATTGGGTTGGACGAATGAAGAAGAAGATGATGTAGGGGAGAATGGAAGAGCCAACATGCCAAAGAATAACCGGCGAGTGATGGGAAACAAGTGGGAGAAGGCGAGGGCCTCCCGTGATGTCACGGCGACAAAAAAATTCCTCCACATGATGATGATGTCCTAGACTACGGGGTGCTAGACATGTCGGCCTGCCGATCATGGGCCGGGTCAAGGGCCCCCAGACAACCGAAGAATGAGCCATATTCACCATGACACCCGGCGTACTCAAGATGAAATCCTCCGAAAACTTGGCACACACTTCAAGACATGTTCAAATCATCGGCACGCTTTATTCCTGGATGTAACCACCCTACATGTAACCCTAGGTGCCCCCTGTACCTATATGAGCTGAAGGGTTTTAGTCTGTAGCCTAAAGTTAAGCTAAGTTAGATTCATTCATACGATCTCGAGGTAGATCATCCTATACTTTGTACTCCATCACGATCAATACAACAGAAGCATGACGTAGGGTTTTACCTCTTCGAGAGGGCCCGAATCTGGTAAACATTGTGTCTTTTGTTCGTCCTGTTGCCATTCGACCGAGATCACCAGCTCGGGACACCCTACCCGAGATCCGCCGGATTTAACCCCCGACATTGGTGGCCCATGCAGATCCCACTATGTGATCAAAACAGTTTAATGGCATCATGCTTGATGATCAGATCTGTTCCAACATAGTTCCTGCACTGGAGCGTTTAAACTTTGGCTCAACCGAAGCATGAAAGAAGATTAAAACTCCAAACCCTTGTCAGGACATCGATTTCGACAACCCAAAAACTACTGATGCTTCCTCTTCCATGACGCTAGATCTGGGCGAGGATACACAAAAGATCATCACCCAAGCATCGGTTTCGTACCACCTGCAAAGTGAAGACTATGATTCACCAGGCTAGGCTTGGAGCTCGGATAATAGATGGTCAGACACTCCGATCACTTTCGATCGAGAAGACCAACCAATGGGAACTCATGGCCGAGGAGTTTCGGCCCTTGTCCTCGACCCCATTATTGATGGCTATCGGTTGACCAACGTCTTGATGGACGGCGGTAGTAGCCTAAACCTCATCTATGAGGATGCTTTGCAAAAGATACAATTCGACAGATCAGGCATCGTACCGAGCCGAACAACCTTTAAAGGAATGGTCCTAGGAAAAGAAGCATGTTGAATCAACAAGGTCACGCTTGACGTGATCTTTGGAATGCCCAACAACTATCAGGTCAAAGATTTAATCTTTGACATTGATTGCTTGTATCTGTGTTGGTATTTCCCCGAAGAGGACAGGATGATACAACACAGCAATGGTAAGTATTTCCTGAAGGAAATATGCCCTAGAGGCAATAATAAAGTTGTTATTTTATATTTCCTTATTCATGATAAATTTTTATTGTTCATGCTAAAATTGTATTGACCAGAAACCTTAATACATGTGTGAATACATAGACAAACACTGAGTCCCTAGTGAGCCTCTACATGACTAGCTCGTTGATCAAAGACGGCTAAGGTTTCCTAACCATAGACATTAGTTGTCGTTTGATAACAGGATCACATCATTAGGAGAATAATGTGATGGACATGACCCATCCGTTAGCTTAGCATATTGATCGTTCAGTTTTATTGCTATTGCTTTCTTCATGTCAAATACATATTCCTTCGACTATGAGATTATGCAACTCCCGAATACCGGAGGAATGCCTTGTGTGCTATCAAACATCACAACATAACCGGGTGATTATAAAGATGCTCTATAGGTATCTCCGAAGGTGTTTGTTGGGTTGGCATAGATCGAGAATAGGATTTGTCACTCCAAGTATCGGAGAGGTATCTCTGGGCCCTCTCGTTAATGCGCATCATAAGAAGCCTTGCAAGCAAAGTGACCAATGAGTTAGTTGCGGGATGATGTATTACAGAACGAGTAAAGAGACTTGCCAGTAACGAGATTGAACTAGGTATGAAGATACCGACGATCGAATCTCGGGCAAGAAAAATACCAATGACAAATGGAATAACGTATGTTGCCATTACGGTTCGACCGATAAAGATCTTTGTAGAACATGTAGGAGCCAATATGAGCATCCAGGTTCCGCTATTGGTTATTGACCGGAGAGGTGTCTCGGTCATGACTACATAGTTCTCGAACCCGTAGGGTCCACATGCTTAATGTTCGATGACGATTTAGTATTATATGAGTTATGTGATTTGGTGATCGAATGTTGTTCGGTGTCCCGGATGAGATCACGGACATGACGAGGAGTCTCGAAATGGTCTAGAGGTAAAGATTGATATATAGGATGATAGTATTCGGACATCGAAAGTGTTCCAAATAGTATCAGGTATTTATCGGAGTATCG